ACCCCTTTGGCAGTCGAACGACCCTTTCACAGGGGTCGCCTAAGACCATCCTGCATATCAGATATTTACATTACGATTCATAACAGTAGCAACATTACAGTTATGAAGTAGCAACGAAAATAATTTTATGGTTGGGTCACAACATGAGGAACTGTATTTAAAGGGCCAGAAGGTTGAGAACCACTGCTCTAGGGTCACCAGAGCCTGGTTTTCTCAAGCTGGTTTGAGCCCTTTACTTGGCTCACCCACAGAAGTGTCTGTGTTCACAGCTAGGGCCACTCTGACCTTCACCCTCCCTGTCCCCACCAGTGCATTGTGAGCGTGGCTGGCGGGGCCACTCGGGCTGCACTGACCATGCACCAGGCCCGGAGAAACAACATGGCCGACGTGTCAGCCAAGGACGGCAGCCAGGTGAGCGGCCGGGCTGGAGGGACGGCGTGAGGGCGGGGGCTGGGGGGGGGCGCAGGCCAGGTCACAGTTTGGGAGTGTGGAGAGAAGCACCTGAGCGCTCCTGGGGGAGGGGTGGGAGACAGGCAGGAAGAAATGTGGGTGCTCCCTGCTCTGACTTTCAGGACGGGTGGTCCGGTGTGAGGGCACGGGCTCGGGGGGCAGTAAGTCCAAGCTGGTCACCGCAGCCTCTGCCCATCGCCCATGTGGCAAGAGTGAGCCCTGGCCCTGGCCCTCTGTAGGCCATGCCCCCTCTGGGAGGAGGACCTTCTGATCATGTGAGGCCCACAGGTTAAAGCTCATGGCAACTCAAAAAGTGCTCAGCATGCGAGGTGCCTGGGGTCACTGACTGGCCAGAGGCACCCACTCAGCAGTTTAGAGGCCTCTGGCCCAGCCCCTCAGCTGACCAGGGGAGCCTGGAGTAGGGGTGTCGCCACCCCCACAGGCTGAACACTGCCGTCCCCCTTGGTCCTCATGCTAAGTGCTTAAGTATATTGCATCATGTAACTCTCACTCCGACCCTGTAAGGTCCATGTTGTTACTACCCCTGAACATGTCCCAGGTCGCCCTGTGTTGTGTTACTGCCTCTGTGGACGGAGGAAGCCTAGGAGCCTTGGGAAATACAGCTTGGGGTGGGGGAGGCTGAGGGGTTAGGAAGAGAGTAGATGAGAGAGAAAAGTGCGGTCCAGGGATGTCAGAAGTGTGACAGGTTTACTTTGACACTGAAGCAATCTAGAAGCCTCTCTCCTCTCCAGTTCTACTTTCTGGCCTTCTCTTAAATTGTTTTGTTCAGTTTCTAAATAGAACTTTTTTTTAAATACATTTTTATTGACAGAGAGAAACATCAGTGATGAGAGAGAATCATTGATCAGCTGCCTCTTGCACGCCCCCTACTGAGGATCGAGCCCACAACCCGTGCATGTGCCCTGACCGTGAGGTTGATACTCAACCACTGAGCCACACCGGCTGGGCAAATTTGCCCTTTTGTAACCACCAAGAAAACACTTCCCCCACACTGTGGACATTTACTTGCCTAAGCATAGAACTACTCAGCTGACTCCTGCAAAACAAAGAAAATGTTTCAAGGGCATTGTATCTGCCAGAGCAGCAGCTGGCATCTTTTTTTGATAGTTTATTAATCCGCACCTGAGGGTATTTTTTTCATTGATTTTTAGAGAGAGTGGGAAGGAGGGAGGGGGGCATTGATGAGAGAGACACATCCATGGATTGCCTCCCAGACACCGACCAGGGCTGGGGATTGAACCTGGAACCCAGGTACTGAACCCAGGTACGTGATTGACCAAGAATCAAACCAGTGACCCGACAGTCTAACCACTGAGCAACACTGGCTAGGGTGCAGCTGGTATCTTTTAAATGACGGTGCACTCACTAAAGATGTTGAAAATTTACCAGGCACCCTCCGTGTGTGGAGCCCTGGGTGGTTCTGGGGCTGGGAGGGATGTGAAAGGCACTCAGGGACGCTCAGGCTGGCCTGCAGGGGAGCCGAGCCCTCCAACGCCCACCCGTCTGCCATTTTCCAGGAGACACTGGTAAACCTGGCAGGGCTCCTGGTCAGCCTCCTGATGCTTCCCCTGGTGTCAGATTGCCCTAGGTAAGCGAGGGCAAGGGAGGGACGGAGGTGCCCGGCGGGGCCTCTGTCCCTGCCGACCGCCTCATGCTCTTGTTCCAGCTTCAGCCTTGGTTGTTTCTTCCTCCTCACTGCCCTCCACGTCTACGCCAACTACCGGGCCGTCCGAGCCCTTGTCATAGAGACCCTGAACGAAGGTCGACTCTGGCTGGTCCTGAAGCACTTCCTTCAGCGGGGGGAGGTGCTTGACCCCACCTCAGCCAATCAGATGGAGCCGCTGTGGACAGGTGACCCACCCCTTGGTCTGAAGTTTTATGTCTCTCAGTCTGTCCTCCTGCCTGGGACTCCTGACTCCAACTTCCCACAGGTTTCTGGCCGTCTCCGTCTCTGTCCTTGGGGGTCCCCCTACATCGCTTGGTTTCCAGGTAAGTAGCCCAGTGTCCCACTCATCACTACTGGCCCCCCACTCCCCACACATGTGCTTCATTCCAGTTACACACTGGCCTTCCTTGACCAGACCCCCCTTTGCTCTGGGGTCCTTATTTCCACTGAACAGACTTGGGGTCAGCATGGGTGCTTGAGTGCAGTGGCTGTGTAACGGAGAGGAGATATAAAGGGTATATTTGTGCCCTAGCAGGTTGTTCAGTGGTCAAGTGGTCAGAGCATCTGCCCTTGGACTGAGGGTCACTGGTTCAATTCCAGTCAAGGGCTTGTACCTCCGTTGCAGGCTCGATCCCTGGCCCCAGTTGGGCATGTGCCAGGCAACCAATCAATATAGCTCTCTCACATCGATGTTTTTCTCTGTCTCTCCCCCTCCCTTCCACTCTCCCTAAAAAATCAATGAAAAAACAAACAAATCCTCGGGTAAGGATTAACAACAAAAAAAAAGGTTATATTTGTTGGATAAAGGAATAATGGGTGGATGGGGCAAATGGATGGCTAGCTGCAGAAGGGAGGGTGGCTGTGGGGTGCGTGAGGAATGGCTAAGGGGTGGTGGGAAGTGGGGGAAGGACATGAAGAGGCAGTTATGGCTCACAGGTGGCTGTTCATTTGACTGGGTGGTTACCCTGCCTTTGCTTTCTCCTCCCCACTGCACTCCCTTTCCTTCAGTGTCGTTGAGCTGCAGCAACTGGCTGAGGGACACCAAGAACCTTACCTCCTTCGCTGGGACCAGTCTCAGAGTAAGTGTTTCCCACCTTAGACTCACCGCCTGGGGTCGGCTCCCATTCCTCCAGCTCCAGGCCCGCAAGCCCTGCACAGTTTGGAGTCCGCCTGGTGCCCTGCAGCCAGCTCTTGACTAAGACTCCACATGTTCAATTATAGCTGCACGCCCCAGGGGCGTTCCCTTTGCCGCTCTGTAAACCGGAGCCAACGGTGCCTGCCTTATTCCCGCAGTGTTTTTGGGGGATCAGATAAGATGATACATAAGACCACTGTGTACATTGCAGCACACTAACTCAGATAAGGTGGTTCCCTTTAGATGTCTCAGGGGGACCACTGTTCTCTCATCCCAAGTCGCTTCTTGAGGAAAAAAGTACTAAAGTTTACTGTTCTGCTGGTCGTATGTTAAAAGGTGCTTATTCTCATGAGCCATTAAAAACATGCAAAATAAACCCACCTCCGTGAGCCGCAGTGACGTTGCATTTGGAAAGTGGGCATTTCAGTCTGGCCAGAGCATTGGGGGCAGCAGGAGGTGACGCTGGGGAGGAAAGGGGAGACGGCCTTCCACGCCAGCCAAGGCCTCGGGCAGACAGGGATGAAGCGAGGTGATGGGATCAAGAGTGTTTGGGGAGGTGGCCTTCCCTGGTACCAGTCTGTCCCTGGGTCTCCAGATCAGGTACAGGTCGTGCTGAGCCAGGTGGCAGGCCCTGAGACCGTCCTAAGGGCCGCCACACACGGGCTGGTGCTCGGCGCCCTGCGGGAAGACGGGCCCCTCCCAAGAGAGCTGGGCGAGCTGAGGAGCCAGGTGCGGGCAGGTAAGAGCCTCTCAGCCTAGGCTGCTGGTGACTCCAGGGGTGGAGAGAGGCTGTTCGGCCTGGGGACCCAAGAACTCTTCTGCGTCCCCGTCCAGGCCCCAACACAGAGAGCTGGGTCATCGTCAAGGAGACACACCAGGTGCTGGACGAGCTTTTCCCAGAGTTCTTGAGAGGTAACATCCTGCAGGCTCTCAGCCTCTGAGCCTTCTCCCCAGGGCGCTGCCTGCCCCGCCCCCTCCACCTGGGACGAGGTAGATCTGGTTCTCTCTGAGTGTAAGTGTGGGCCTCAGTTTCTGCAGGATGGAGATTAGGATGGTCCCTGAGGCTGTCAGTGTTGTCTCTGTATGTAGTCCCAGTTGGCATTGAAGAACCGGGGTGAAAGGAGGCTCACAGATGACTGGTGCCGATCTTTTATTAGCCCCTGTTCCATCCCCCCCCTTCTCCATGGCTAGCTCAGTGAGTTCCCGCTGCACCAGATGAGGTGTTAGCCTCAGTTTTAGCCAGAAGTCACCCAGCAGAGGCCAGGGAAGCCAGAGCAGGGCATAAGGCCTGCACCCAACCTGTGCCACTCCTTACCGCTCTCCCCAGGGTCAGCCCAGCCTCCTCCCCAGCGGCCCCCTAGTACCAATTCCCCCATGACCTCTCCCCAGGGCTGCAGGATGCGGGCTGGGAGACTGAGAAGCACCAGCTGGAGGTGGATGAGTGGAGGGCCACATGGCTCCTGTCTCCAGAAAAGAAGGTCTTGTGAGCAGCCCCGATGGAGGCCAGACCCCGGCTCGGAGCCTGAAGCAAGAACACTGGCTGCAGCAGGATGTGGGAAAGGCAGCTTTATTTTTCACGGGGGAGCTGATGTGGCGGGTCGGCCGGGGCCTCAGGAGGTAACTGCCTGCCGGATGGCTTGGGCCCCAGGCAGGGACAAGGTAGAGAGAAGGGGAATCACGGCCTTCCTCCTGCCCTGCCTGTGGCTCAGGGCGCCCAGCCCGTCGGCCTCAGGCATAAAAGCCCCAGAGGAAGGTGGCCACGGCCATCATGAGCAGGGCATTGAGGTTGACCACACGGGCCCAGTGCGGGTCCTCACTGATGTCCTCCAGCCGCCTGGCTGCCGCATCCACCTCCTCCTGGGTGGGGGGTGGGGGGCTGCCTGCCCCGCCCCTGCCCATTCCACAGAACCAGAGCAGGCACTGGCGGAGCAGGCCTGGTGCCGGGGGTTGGGGCTCTGGGAGAAATTGAAGCCCGACAGTTAGTGTGAGGGAACTTGCCCCCCTCAGCTCCGCAGCCCCACCTCCTGGGCCGTGCCTCACCCTCCATCTCCACCGCGTGCTCCGGACGCCCGTTCTGTACAGGGGCTGAGGCCGGTCCTTCCAGTTCCTCAGCATCCAGGTCCTCCCGCTCCTCCTTGCTGTGCCGGAGACTGAAAACCAGGCGGTGGAGCTGGGGGAAGGGGAGCAGGGACCAAATGGGAGTTCTGTTTCCCCGCCTCAGGCCCTGATGTCTCTTGTCCACACTGGCACGTCCTATCCTCCCTCTGTCCTGCGTGTACACAGCCCAGGCTCAGTCACTCAAACATGGCCTTTGGCTGCCCTTTCCCCTCGGGCTAAACCAAGCTCCTCAGCTGGGCGTTTAAAGCTCTTGGCCCGCTTCATCACCCAGAGGCCCCTGTCCGCTCAGAATTGTAGTATTTAGTCTCCAGGCTCAGTCCTAGCTGTCCCTCCCTGCGGGTATTTGCTCGGATTTCCTCCTGTGGCCTTCCCCCCACTTCTCCGCCCATGGAATCCTGTCCATCCTTCTGGCCCCCAACCAGCCCTGCCCTGGTCACTTGCCCTGCAGCACAAGACCAAGCCCTGTTGTGGGCTTTCAGGAAAGTGTCCTGTCCCTCAGCCACCATCAGCCTGTTTTGAGTCCCAAAGGCCAGGCCAAGGACTTTGGGAACTTGAGTCACTTCCCCTACAATCTTCAAGCCATCTCCCCAAACCACCTCAAATAAATGTCATTAAATGAAAACATTGTGATGGCTTTGCAAATGCGACTTCAAACTGGACTCCCCGCCTGCCCTCATTAGCCCTCAGTATAGGAAACCGGGTCCTCTCCACTGGGTGGTCCTGGGAGCTACTGGCGAACAGCGGAGAGGGCCACGCTGGCCCACGTGGCACATGCTGGTGGCCATCCGGAGGCGACACCTACGTGCTTGCGCGGGATGGGCGCTGTGCACAGTGAGATGACGATGGTGAGGAGGCCCGAGCAGACGAAGAGCACGATGGCGAAGTAGAGGTAGTGCACCCCGCAGAGGAGTGCGGGGCATGCGGAGGGTCGGACGCAGCTGCCGGAGCCAAAGGAAAACTCGGGAATAAGGCGCGCCAGGCCCATCAGCAGGCCCCCAATCAGTCCCCAGAAGGCACCCTGCGGGGGAGACGAGCGTCAGCCTTCCCCAAGGTGAGGTCGGCCCTGCGCCAAGCGGACAGCTCTTCGCGTGCTCACCTTCTCGTTGACGCGGGGCACGAAGAGCGCCAGCACGAAGACCGCGGACACGGGCGGCGCCAGGTAGCTGGAGACGGCCTGGATGTAGTCGAAGAGCTGCCCGCCCTGGGCCGCCTGCACCACGGGCAGCCAGGCCACCGACACCGCCACGATGAACACCACCCAGAGCCTGCGGTGGGCGGCCGTCAGACTTCCCCGGGCCCCTCTCCCCAGCCTTGCCAGGGCTCCGTCCCCTTCCCCGGGCAGACGCGCGGGACAGGGGGTGGAGGGGTGACTCGGGCCGCACCGTCCTACTAGCAGCAGCTCGCGGTCCCCCGCGCGAGGCCGCAGGCGCGTGTAGATGTCCATGGTGAAAAGGGTGCTGCTGCTGTTGAAGATGGAGGCCAGCGAGGACATCAGCGCGGCCAGCATGACCGCCAGCATGAGTCCTCGCAGACCTGCGGGCCGACGGGAGCAGTGAGTCCCGGGAACCAGGGCGTGGGGGGGCTGGGCAGCCGGTGACCCCTCCCCCGTCAGGCTCCAGAGCCGCCCACACTGTGGGCAGGGGCCACCTGTGTGCTCGCCCTCACCGTTGGGCATGAGCTTGACGACGAGCCGCGGGTAGGCGATGTTGGAGCAGCCCACCTCGGTGCCGCACACGCGCTTGCACACCTCGGGCACCACGCACGCCACCTCGTCTGGGGGAGAGGGCACGACACACCTAGGACAGGGCCTGGTCCGGGAACGCGGATCCCTGCAGTGGGGGCTGGGAATCTAACGGAGAGGAGGTGGGAGCCCTGGAGGGAGGCGGGACTGGGTGGCCAGGGTCCCACATCTCAGGGCTGTAATGGCTATGGGAAGCGGACGCCCGGTCCTTCTGCAGGAAGGGGTCTGGGTGGGGCACACATTACCCGGGTAAAGAATGCGGCTGATCATGCCCGGCATGACCATGAGGAACATGGGCATCAGCTTCAAGTAGCCGCACAGGATGCAGCCCGCCTTGATGTGGGTCAGGTTCTTCCCCGCCAGGCAGCGCTGCACGATCACCTGTGACCAGGGGCGTTCAGCCGCCTGTGGCCAGTCCCGGACACCCCGCCTCCTAGGCCTTGCCTCAACTCCGTGGCGCTAACTCAGGCCCTGCCTGGCTCGGCGCCGCAGCAATTCTGCTCCATGCACAGCCCCTGCCCTTCCTCAGGTTTAGCTCCGCCCCGTCAGGGTTCCCGCGCCCTCAACCCAGCCCCACCGGATGGTTTCAGGCTCCACCCATCTCAGCCCCGCCCACACTAGTTCTGGCTCTGCCCCAGTCTAGCTCCCCACCCAACCCCTGACCTCGCACCTGGTCGCTGCACCAGTACCAGCCGGAGACGATGGTCAGCCCCAGGAGCAGCGCAGGCCACGGCAGGTCCCCCGTGACAGGGTCCCGGAGCAGATGGTAGGAGTCGGGCCGGGGTTGGTAGCAGGAGCTGGAGATGTTGCCCACGGCCGGATCCTCCGACACCGTCAGCGACGTCATTGCCCCCAAGTATTTGTCGAAAAGCCCAGAATACCCGCCCACCTCATGGAAGGCTGTGTGGGCAAAACCGTCAGGGGAGGCCCTCCCTAGAACCCACGCCTGGGACTCGTGGTGTCCCAGCTTCCAGCGTGAGCCCTGCCCTTGGCCGCCGCCCCCTCCCCACGGGGCGTACCGTAACCCATGAGGATGCAGGCGCCCCCGAGAATGACGAAGGTCTGCACGGTATCCGTGTACATCAGCGCCGCCAGCCCTCCTGCAAGGGGCCTGGTCAGTGGGGGCAGCCCGGACAGGCTGCTGCTAGTGCACACCGCGTGTTGTTGGAATATGAAAAGGTGCCCCTTCCCGGAGAACGCGTTTCAAAGCCATGGCCCACTCCCTGGCTCAAGCACTCTGAAGCGGAGGCGGGACTGCGAGCAGAGTCGGGCTGCGTGGCTCCTATCACACCCTGAGCCCCTCCCTTCCCTACGCCCCCCACGGCCACCTGTCACCGTGTAGACCATGGTGATGCCCAGGAGCGCGATGACGGAGGCGTAGATGTTCCAGCCGAGAGCCTGTTGAATGAATACCGCCCCCGAGAACATGTCCACCTGGGGGAGGAGCCAGCAGGCAGGTCAGGCCCAGAGGCCGGGGCAGGGGCGCAGTTCCACCTCCTGCCCAGACCACAGCCCAGAGTGGCCACGCCTCAAAGGCGCCCTCATTTTTCCATGCCCTGACCTCCCCAGGTCTCAGCCACGGTGGCCGTGGCCCTAGAAATCCATGACTCCCAACCCCCATCGGGATCTCACGTCCACTTCTCCTTGGTCCCGCCCCCTCCAGGACTTTCCAAAGCGCTTCCATCCGCGGCCCCGCCCTTCCAGGGCCCCGTCCCGCCCGCCTCGCGCGCGCACCGAAATCTTGGTGAAGATGTACAGGAAGAGCGAGAGCACGGACAGGTAGAGGCGGATGCGATGGCCGCCGAAGCGCTTGCGCAGGTACTGCGGCATGGTAATGACGCCCGCCGTCAGGTACACCGGCACGAAGAGCCAGCCGAGCAGCAGCACCACAAACAGCGCCTGCGGGCACAGGGCAGCTGGCCACTCCCTGTCCCAGACCCGCCTGCAGCGCCTCCTACCCCTGAGGGTATGAGACCCCTCTCACCCTCTTGGGCTTTTAACTAGAGCCCTCCTTGCCTCCCAGGCCACCACCCCTGGCCAGTCCTTCCCAAGAGGTCCCTGCCCCGGACCCCCAAGCACTGGAGTCCAAGCACAGACCCCTCAGCCTGACCCCAGCTTCGCCAGGAAGGGCTGCTTCCCCTCCCCTCCCAACCCAGGAAACCATGGAGGCTCAGCTTAGAGGCCTCCTCCTCCAGGAAGCCCTGAGCGCAAAGCCCTGACCGCCCCAGCTTTCCAAGGCGCGCCTCAGTCCCAGAGCCTTGCCTTCCTCCCACTTCTGCAAGGGCTTTAAGTCGGCCCAGGGAGCCTCGCAGGCCACACTTCCGAGAGCATCGGAACAAGCACTTCACTGTCGCTGAGGCTGTGCACCCCTCTTCCGAGAGGAGTACATAGGCCACGAAGGTAGGGGCTGGTCCCGGCTCACATGGCAGGTCAGCAGCAGGACCTAGCCCTACCCTGAAAGTGGTCATTTCCTACTTCCCTCTGCTTCCAAGCTGGACCCGTGACCCTCACCTGGAGCCAACCGCACCCACAATCAGTCTCACACCCGCTCTGCCCGAGCCTCCCTAGGTGTACCCTTCCAGGGGTTCCCACTGGGGGTGGGGGTTATTGGCAAAAAGGGGGCTCACATTCCACTCAAATCCAGCCACAGCCAAGCCGCTGGCAGCGCCAGTCCCCGCCAGGCCCACAAAATGGCCACTGCCGATGTTGCTGGCAAAGAGAGAGGCCCCGACCTGGGTGGCCAGGGGCACGGGTGAGCAGGATGCTTCTCTAGCCCCCACCCCCTCCACAGCCCGCCTCTCTCACCGGCCACCACACCATGCTTCGTCCCGCCAGGAAGTAGCCACCCACAGTGCCTCTGTTGGTTCTGCACATGGACTGGGGGACAGGAGTTGGGGGAGACCTGGGTTCAGGGCACGTCTTTGGACCTCATTAGCCTTCTCAACACATTCCTCAGCCTTGTTTCAGGCTGAAGATTAACCTGCGCTCTGCTCCCCAATGGTTCACACCCCACCCCCACAACCTCTTCCCAGGCCCCCAGAGCCACCCAAGCCCTAAGCTGTTGTCCAGCTACCCAAGCCTGAGTGTAGCTAGATTCGTCCTGACTTTCCTGGGGCCCCGGTTCAGGCCATGGGCTTCTGTCAGCCATGACATAGATGGCGGACAGAGGCCTCAGTTAGAATGCTGTCCCCGAGGACAGCCAACCAAGGATGGGAGACAAAGAATGAGTGGTGATTAGGCCTCTTAGGGCTATCAAAAGACTTATTTGGGGCGACAAGTCTCCCCCCTCCTTTCCCCAGCACCTGGTTTCTCCCTCAAGGATCTAGGCATCCTGCCCCTACTGCCACCTGCGGTCTCCCTGCGCCAGGCCCCAGAAACCTGGCCCCAGCAGCACCCCCTCAACTTCTCACCCACAAGCCGACACCAATGACCAGCAGGAAGTAAGCAGCAATGACCACGATGTCAGCAGGGTTGTCGATTAAGACCCTCTGCTCCTCCAGCTCTGGCGCCAAGCTTGCCTCTGTGTAGTCCTCCATTCTGTCCAGGATCTGCCCCTCAAGGGACCAGCCCCTGGGTTCTCCCAGGGGAGGGGTTAATGGTTACCTCAGGTGCAGTGAGCTGACAAATCACCCAGGCCTTGTCCCCCCTCCCCGCCTTTGTTTAGCTGAATCAGGTCATATCAAGACCGAAGGCTGGTCCTGGGAGGTGGACCCTTTCAAGTTCAGGAACACTCCTTCCTGGGCCTCAGCCCCTACCTCTTCCCTAGTGCCTCAGGCTCAAAATCACCCCCTAAAACACGCCAACTTTTCAGCCTTGACCTAGGGAGTCTGGCTGAGTCAGCCCCTGGTTCTGACCAGTCCAGAGGGATCATCTTCAAACCCTCGCCTGACATTGTGAGTCCCCTGCCCAGGAGCACTCCATAGCTCTCCATCACAGTCAGGGCCTGCCAGGCCCCAACTCCGCCCACCCTTGCCCTTTCCCCCAACCAAATCTAGTCTCCTTCCTACTCCTTTGCCCTGCCCAACTTGTGTATGCTCATACCCCCAAACTTCTGCTTAGAATGCCTCCGTCTCCCCAACAGCCAACTCCTACCCAGCCTTCAGTACCCAGCCCTGTTACTGCTTAGCAAAGACTTGCTTGACTTTTCTGATACAGTTCCCAGCACACGGAGTGGCCCTCATCCGGGCCCATCTCTGTCTCCCCAACAGGCTAGAGCCTCCCCAAGAGCAGGCGTGATGTGGTTCATCCCGGAGTTGGTGAAGAGCTGTCTCTGCCTTTCTTCTAGAATGGACCAGCCTTGGACGTCTGACCATGGCAGTTGGGCGCATGCCAGAGATGGGAATTGAATGAATTATGTTTGGGGAATGCCTTAAAAGCAGACCCCAAAATGAGAACCGGAGTGCAAGGACTTCACTGGGGGGTGATCCCAGTAGGGACTGTGAAGGAGTGAGAAAGGCGAAGAGCCAATGAAGGGCGTGTCCACAGACAGGTTACCGCTGTGCACAATTGGAATCCAGCCCCAACGGGGACCCTCTGAGACGGTGGAGAACAACCTCAGAACTGACCCTCACTCTTCGCCAGCTCCTGTCTCTAACTAGTTAGAGGTTACACCCCACATACACACACTTTAGCCCTGTGGGGTACAAGAGCACTGTGGGGTACAAGAGCACACTCCTCCCCCAGAGAGCACCCTCCAGATACCCGGGAAGAGCTGGGGAGGCTAGGCATAGCAGGTGGGCCGAGCAGCTGTGGGTAGGGCAGCCACAGTGTCTGCTCGGGGAGATGAATGTGAAGTGCCTGAGAGAATGCAGGCCAGTGTCAGAGGGTGCACTGGGGCTATTGACCTCACTGCGGCCTTCAAAGCACTTCAGGATGTGGCACCTGTTTCCTCTTTGACCTCATCGCCTGCGACTCTCCCCTTCGCTCGCTCTAATCCAGCCACACTGGCCTTCCCTTCCTCCTAATGTGCCAAGCGCTCTCTACCTCCTGGCCTTTGCACCTGCTGCTTCCTGCACCCGGAATGCCCTCCTCATTCCTTCGCCTGGGTGGCTCTTTCTCAACCGTGTTGCAGCTTAGACATGACATTTTCACAGAGGTCTTCTCCGCCCAGCTGGGGAAAGCACTCCCTCCCCGCCTTCGCCGACTTCTCTATTTTCCCCTTCCCATTTCCCCACCTTTCCTTCATTCACAAACATTTACTGAGCTCTTCCCACATACCCGCTACCATTCTAGACACTGGAGAGACCATGCCATCCGACAAATAAATGTGCTGTCTGACAGGCTCTCAGGAGCTTGCATTCCAGTTGCAGAAACAGATACGAACAAGCAACAAACAGACATGTATTTGTGATGGTGATATGAAGGCCTAGGGAGGTGCTGTGGGTAGGAACAAGGTGGATGAACCAACTTTGGTTCATCGCACTTGTCACTTGTCATCTCTCCCCCCTATAGATCTCAGTTCCCTATGGTGTCCCCAGCACCTGCTGTGGACCTGACACAGCCAGTGTTCAGTAAACGCTTGGCAAATGAATGAATCGAGACTGGAGATGGCCCATTCGAGCATTCTCAGTCCAGGAGGTGGTCACCCGCCAGGGGGTGGACGGCACTGTCCAGGGAGAATATGTGGAAGGGGAAGGGCAGGAGGCCTGGGAAGCACAGGACGAGGAGCCCCAGAGAGGAATCTGGTGGCTGCAAGCGGCCAGGGCAGATAACACCTCACCTGTCTCTTCCCACACATGCTCTTTGGCTGCGAGCTCCTCCTTGAGCTGGAAGGGGCTCTGAGGGTCCACCTTTTGCATCCTCAAAGTTCCCTATAATGTGGACCCAGGAGTCCATGCCCCCGCCCTAGGGAGCTGCAGGGTCCAAGGTAAAGGTTCTGGGGCTCAGAAAGGCCCCTGGGGCTTGGGGATTCAGATGGAGCCGGAACCCGTCCTCACCTACAACCTGGCCCACCGTCCTCTGCTGGGCTTAGCTCAGGGTCACCTCCTCCAGGAAGCCCTCTCTGACTCCCCGTTAGAAGCCTCCCTCTGGCTCCTCCAGCCCCAGCGCTTTCCTCAGCCACTGCCCCGACCACACCAAGTGTCACCCTCTGCCCAGGGCGAGTTCACACCAGTGAGCCGGAAGCTGAGCCTCAGTGCCCAGATCCAAAGGGTGGGTGTACGCTGATGCTTCCAGAGGAGGGGGAACATCTGGAAACCAGACAAGATGGCAGGGGTCGGGAGAATTGGGAAGGGAACAGACTAAGTGCTTATTTCAAAAACATAGAGGGTTTAGGGGTGGGTGGGTGGCGGCGGGAAGGTTCTCCGGGCCCAGCTTGAGCTGTGCAGGCTCTGCCCGGTCGGTGCAATCCCGCCTGGTGGCCTTCCTCTCCGGCCAGGGCGGCGCCTGGAACCCGCTGAGGAAAGAACCGGCCCGAAGGGCGGGGCCGCGACGCGGCTCCACTGCAGACACAGCACCAGAGCGACGTGGACCGTGGACCGTGTTTATGTAGAAAAAGTGCACAGAGCAGTGAGGGGGCGGGGAGGGGAGCGCCCGGCCTGGAGCCCCCTGCAGCGGGGCTCCCTGGGGTGGGAGCCAGTGAAGGGCTCGGAGGGATGCTGGTCGGTGCACGTCCCACGCCGGGGCGCGTGGCTGTGGGATCGGCCGGGCCTTTCCTGAACTTGCCCTCGGAGGACGCGGAGTAAGGTACCTGGGGGCGTCTCTCCTGCGGGCGGTGCTCACAGGGTGGGGTGAGGGGAGCCCCAAGGTCCGAGAGCGCGGCCTTGGGGCGGGCACAGCACCGGTGGGGGGTGGGGGGGCGTTTGGGGAGGGTCAGCCGAAGAGCTTGAGGAAGCAGGGCTGGCAGTAGGGCTTGCCGGCGCGCTCCTGGAAGGAGCCCTTGGTGAGCGCGCGCAGGCAGAAGGTGCAGGTGAAGTGGTCCGGGTGGAAGCGCCGGCCCAGGGCCGACACGCAGCGGCCGGTCACCGGGAGGCCACACGTGGCGCACAGCGAGCCGCGCCGCGCGTGGAAATGGTTCTCGCACAGCGGGCGGCCCTCGTGCTCGAAGAAGCTGCCCGCAGAGAAGGGCGCGAAGCACTCCTGGGGACGGGGCAGGGGCAGGCAGAACCTCGCACCGGACGCCTCGCTCGAGGAACCGGACCACCCCGCTCGGCCCGGGACCGTTCAGCCCGGGACCCCGCAGCCCGGCCGAGGGGAAACCCCGCCTCGGAGCAGCCCGCCCAGGACGTGGCCCCGCCCCACTGCCCCGGCCCCGCCCCGCTGCCCAGGCCCCGCCCCGCTTCCCCAGGCCCCGCCCCCAGCGCGCACCCTGCAGACGAAGCAGTCCGGGTGCCAGAGCGCGCTGAGCGCCGAGATGTAGTTGTCCAGGATGGGGCCCTGGCAGCCCTGGCAAGCGCGGGGCGAACAGCTGCAGGAAGTCCCGGCGGCAGTAGGGGCGGCCCTCGCGCTCGTGGAAACCTGGGGGCGGGACGGAGCGGGCTGGAGGAAAGCGGTGCGGGCGCCCCAAGACCTAACGAGGCGTGAAACGGCGGGGCCCGCGGAAGGGCAGTCCGTCCGAGCGAGCAGGAGAGAGGGACAAGGTCTGGGGCGCCGCAGAGCGGAAGGGGATGGATGGGAACCCCCGTGTTCAGGGGTGGGGACCCCACGAGAGCAGGAAAAAACTCATGGCCCAAGGACTGAGGAGGACTTAGTGGCTGGAAAGGCTGCGAGGCGGGATGTCCAGCAGACCCATGGCTTCCAGGTGGGAGGCACGCTCACCCTCCTCTCCGAAGGGCTCCCCGCAGCTGACGCAGCAGAAATGCTCCGGGTGCCAGTGGGTGCCCAGGGCAGTAACCATCTTCTGTAGGAAATGAAAGTGGACACTCGTATGACCCTCCATCCCTTCTCCCCTCCCCCTCCCACCCTGGACCTCAGTGAGTGGGTTGAAGTATGAGTTAAGGCCAGGGAGACCTAAGGAGGAACTTGGGGTCAAAGAGAGAGGGGAAGAGGCCAAGGGGCAGGGCTAGGGAGTGGGGGTGTAGGGGGTGGGGCTGGAGGGAGGGGACAGGAGTGGATGAAGCCCATCTCCCGGCCCCCTGGGTGAGAAGCGCTAGCCTGTGGGTCAGGCAGGGCTCACATGTCGAATGGGTTGATTGCAGAGGCCACATCGCGGGGAGAAGCGCTCGAAGTAGCACTCAGGGCAGAAGGGGGCTCCATCCTTTTCGAAAAAGCTGCTGCCTCCCAGGGCGGTGGAACAGCCACTACAAACGAAGTGCTCAGGGTGCCAAGCGCGCCCCAGCGCAGTCACCACCTGCGAGTCGGGGTCGAGGCCAGGGTCAGAGTGGCCCTTCGGCCACCATGTCCCCAGTGAGCCAAGGTTTACATGGCACTTTTCAAGTCACTCCGGCTGTAGGTGATGAAGATGCAGCCCAGTCCAGCACAGGGCCTGGGGCCCACAATACTCTTTAGGAGCCCACGGAAATGTGGTAATTTCTTTTAAAATCAGAAGGGAAAAAATGAGCTACAAGAAAACTGTTTCATAGATAATATTAATATATTCCTCTTTATACTAACACAGTCATAAAGTACAATGTTTACTATTTTTTAATGGAGGAAGGGACCTATGAAGGCAAACGTGGGTAAGGCCCCCGAAAGTCATAATGCCACCTGCTCTGCTCGGGTCGGGAATTCTGGGATGCAAGCAGGGCACTTTATCTGTCAGGAGGATCTACATCAGTGGTTCTCAACCTTCTGGCTCTTTAAATACAGCTCCTCATGTTGTGACCCAACCATAAAATTATTTTCGTTGCTACTTCATAACTGTAATGTTGCTACTGTTATGAATCGTAATGTAAATATCTGATATGCAGGATAGTCTTAGGCGACCCCTGTGAAAGGGTCGTTCAACCGCCAAAGGGGTCGCGACCCACAGGTTGAGAACCACTGACATAGGAGGCTACAATAAGTGGTAGCTGGGTTGGAATTCCCACCCTGCCACTTACTTGCTGTGTGAGTCGGAGCTTCAGTTTCCTCATTCATAAAATATGCATAACAATAACACCCAGTTTCCGGAGCTACTGATTTAAAGGGGACAGCACAGAGGCTGGTGCTCAGTGAAGACAGGTCTGTGGGTCTCCACCTCGCAGAGCTGCACTTACTTGCCCAGCGATGGGTTTGTTGCAGGAGCCACAGAGGCCCTTGGCCTGGGTGGGAATGCCACGGCGGCTGAGGTCGGACTGCAGCAGCCCCAGCATGGTGTCTAGGCTGCCTTTGCTTGCGGGCCCCGGTGGGGATGGGGAGCCCTCGTTCACGGAGCTTGGCACCGGTGTCTGGGTTGGCCCAGGAGCTGGAAGCTACACAACAGGGAGGATGTGAGTTGAGTCAGCAAGGCAACAGATGTGGGAAGGTCTAGAATGGGTTAGGGAGCCACAAAACCACATTGGCCCACCCTCCTCCCTGACTCACATGGTTCTGGACTCGGAAGTCAGAGAGTGAGGCCATCAGTCTGTCCAGCTCCAGGGTGGCCGAGGTGGCCGAAGGCTTTGGGAGAACAGGGGATGGGCTGGGAGGTCTATGAAGAACAACGTGTGTCAGCTCAGAGCCTCCCAGAGCAACGCTCCCTCCAGTCACTCAGGCATCCAAGACCAATCGCCTCTCTCAGACCTGGCAACTGTGCCAAACTCACAGGCTGGGCCTTTTCTTGTCCTCAGACTGGTCCTCCTTCTGCTCCCCGGCGGTCTCCTTGCTAGATGGGAACTGAGACATTATTTCATCTGCAGAGAGGAGAGAAGGGCAGTGGACACAGGGCCTGCTCTCCACACCCTCCCACGTAAGGCTTCTCCTTTTAGCTGCTACTCTGGCAAATCTATGCCCCTTCATCTCTGCCCTTCCCTTCCCTGCCCTGCCCCAGCCCCTCAAGGCCTGTTTCAGTAACCATGGTACCTGTGATGTTGAACTGAGTAGCATTAAGTTCCTGAAGCAACCGGTCTAGCTCACACAGTCCCGAGCCCAGGACACCGCTGGAAGAGGAGAATGGAGGAGCCGCAGGGGCCGCAGGCTTTGGGGACTGAGGCTTGCATACCGTACTGGGGAACAGGGTGGGAGCTTGGGTTCAGGGTGGGGAATCGAAGACTCCTCACCTGAGTCTCAATTGGCTTCCCCATCCCCCAGTTCTCAGGCCGCTTACCTGTATAGATGGTCCTTGTCCCCAGAGCTCCGGAAGACTCCCCAGTCCCCACCTACAGAGAGACGGACACGTGTGCGGGGTGATCGACCTTGCCTCACTCGGGCCCAGACTCCCCCAGCCTTGGCCAGACCGGCCCTAGTGGTTGCCCTGGTCCACAGCATCTGATCTCACCTGTGGCTGGTGGCCATAGGGCAGGGGAGACGTGAGGGGCTCTGGGGGTCGCTCTTTTGGAGCCCCTGGCCGCGGCATGTGTGAGGTGGTGGTCTCCAGGTCAGAGAGCAGGGCATCTGCAGGGAGGCCGTCAAGGTGAGAAGTTGAGAGGTCAAGGTTAGGGCCGAGACAGGGCCTTAAGATATCAAAGGATAAGGCTTCCAAGTGGGCAGTATTTGAGGGCAGAAGCCAGTATTAAGAAGGAAACTCAAGGCCAGACCAAGGCAGAGAAGTGGAAGGGTAGTAAGGAATATATTTGACCAGAATATTTCAATTGCTCATCCTGGGAGCCATGCAGAAACCCAGCCGTCTGATTTTATTTTTTCTTAAAATCTTGCCTAATGCAGTCAAAATTGGCTCTTTACTGAAGCCAAAGTTGACTCCACCCCAAATTGCTCAATTGGCTACATGCCTGGCACCCAGCCTTCTGATTGAACGCTCTTTGCCACGCCCACTAATCCCTCCCCGGACCTAGTCCCGCCCACTCAGCGCTGGCTCACCTCCAGGCCCCGCTGGGTCCCACCCTATGCACCTCATTGGTGAGTCTGCAGGGACCTGCTTTCTGATTGGCTTATTCTCCACAGTACCAGTGCCCGCTACCCCTACGGAACAGCACCCCCTATGGCAGGGTGCTGGAACCCCTTCTGTCTCACAGTTGGAGGGCACAGCCTTCCAGCCCCAGTTCCCACAGATAGGGAGTACAAAATTCCGCCTCCTTCCACCCGGACACCACTACCCCCCCACCCCACCCCCATCCCCTTTCCCTTCCAGAACCCAGCAGTCCCTGCCCCCTCACTCTTCACCTAGAGCACCCTGAACCTCTCCGGGCACCTAACAAACTTAGGGACCCTTAACTCTTTCCTCCCCCAAACCCCGGGCAGGCCCCTTTCTTTTCCAGAACTTGATGTCAGAGCCTCCCTTTCCTGTCTACTTTCCCAGTCCCGGACCCAAGACCCCTCCAACCCCTCCCATCCCAGAGCCTCTGAGCCTCGGCGCCCGCGGGCAGGCACGCACCTCCCGGCGTCCGCAGCTGGGGATGGAGGGGCAGGGAGAGGAAGGAGGGAGGGAGCGGCCGGCCCGGGAAAGGCAGGAAGGGAGCGGCAGGAAGGGGGACGTGGAGTCGGAAAGGAGGCGCGGGCTGAGAGCAGAAGCGAGAAGACAGGAGGCAGGATGAGGAGATGCCGGGGAGGGCCGGGGGGCTCCAGGATGGGGAAGCGGGTCCAGAGGTCGATGCAGGGCTGGCACAAGGGGACCCGGACCCCACTCACCCAGGTCCTCCATGGTGGGGCACAGGCGGACCACGCTGGGCTTGCAGGGCGGGGGCCGTGTCCGGTGGGGGCGGAGGGCGGTGGGGGGGTGGGGAGGACGTCCGGGAGCTGGAGGCCCAGCCGTGACCATGTAAGGAAGCCGGGATCCGTTGGGATGGGGCTGGAGGGAAAGGTGGGGGGCAATGAAGGGGAGAATCCTGGGTGGGGGCGTGTAAGGGAGGGAGGGCTGCGGTCCACGCAGGCCCAGCCCGCCTGCCTGCTTGCGGGGAGGCAGCCACACCCCAGCCTTGGCCTCAGCTGCAGGGAGCCCCAGGCGGCCACAGCCAGAGTCGGAGCAGTGGCTCTTGCAGACCATGCCCGGGATCGTCCGCCCAGCGCGACTCTCAGACACAAACCGAGGCCCCCAAGCAGACACCTCTCAAAGTTAGCACCCCGAGTCTCAGACAGAGCCCCCTGCCACCCAGGCCTTTCCTGAGAGACTTGCTCCGGGCAGAATTTGGGGACTGGAGCAGAAATGATGTTCTAAAGCTCAGGCAGATCCCAGGCTCAGAGACTTTCCCTTAGAGACCCAGACAAACAATGACATAAACAGAGACCCCAAAAGGCACAACACTAAACAAAGAAATCTCTCAGACACAGACAGACACGAGGAACCCTCCTCAGACGGTAAAGCAGGACCTTTCCTCCAAGACTTGAAAACAGACATACAGTTGAACTGAAACCCGGGCCCCTGCAGACTGAGAAAACACTCCCAGGCAGCCGGACCCCAGCCCGCCTTCAAGACAAAGCCCTTCCCCAACAGGGCGGCGGCCCAGACCTGTCCCAAAAGAAGTCCTTCCCAAGATACCGATGAACACAGTGACGAAAGCAAGATGCAAACTCCAGCCAGCCACAAAGGAACAAGAAGCCTTCCTTGGACTGAGACCCTGAGAAATCAAGATTGAAACGAGCCCAGCCAGCATGGCTCAATGGTTGAGCATCGACTTATGAACCAGGAGATCACAGTTCAATTTTGGTCAGGGCATATGCCTGGGTTGTGGGCTCGATCTCCAGTAGGGGGCATGCAGGAGGCAGCTGACCAATGATTCTCTCTCATCATTGATGTTTCTCCCCCCTCCCCCCCCTTCCTCTCTAAAATCAATAAAATTTTTTTTGGAAAGATTGAAATGAGACACTCTATAGTTGGTATAGACAGACACAATGGTGCTGCAGCCACTGGACTGTGGGTCCCAATCCAGACCTGAGCACTTCAGTCTTCAAGGCCTTTAGCAGGTCACATGAGCTGCTGTGCCCACCACCATGCCACGAAAGAATGGGTTTCCTCTCATTGCATTTACAAGGTATATTGATAGCATCATTGCAAATTATTCCATACAAAACGGTGGTTTTGTTGGGTGGAGAGAGTATTTGATATTTCACATAGGCTTTGGTTTTTTTTTTAGGCTTTGATTTATATGTGTAGTTTTAATTATTTTTTAAAATTTTTATTTTTATTGATTTCAGAGAAGGGAGAGGGCGAGAGAAACATCAATGATGATAGAGAATCATTGATCGGCTGCCCCCTGCACATCCCCTACTGGGGATCGAGCCCACAACCTGGGTGTATGGCTTGACTGGGAATCGAACCGTGACCTCCTGGTCCATAGGTCGCCGCTCAACCATTGAGCCACACCAGCCGGCCTATTATTTATTTACTAGGGGCCTGGTGCACGAAGATTTGTGCATTGGGGGTGGGTCCTTCAGCCCGACCTGCACCCTCTCCAATCTGGGAGCCCTCACGGGAACCCTCTCCAACCAGGGAGTTTCTGTCTGTCTTTGCAATCATATGAGCAAATTGTCTGAGACCCCCAACCCAGCTTGGTTTGTTGCTCACAGAATAATAGAGGCATTTTTTTTTCTTTGCTTCATTGGTGGAGATTTCCTGGAAGTTTTAGGATATCTTCCCTTTAATTTTTCCTAGACACTCTGATTTTACTTATGTCTCTCACCTTTGCTTTCCCTCCATCCCCCACCGCAACAGTAACTTGCTCCAGGCTCACTTTGCTTTAGATCTGTCTGCCACCAGAACTACAATTCCCAGCATTCCCGGTGCTCCCCACACTCTAAGTTTTCCCTTCCTGCTCTGTCTCCATTCCACGGCCTCCCACATTGCCATGTTCCCCCAAGCTGCCAGCTCTCCCACTCTGCTCTCCGCTGGGTGCCTGTGTATGCAAATGAGCCCACCATCTTTGCTGGGTTAATTTGCATATTCACTCCTGATTGGCTGGTGAGCATAGCAAAGGGATGGTTAATTTACATGTTTCTCTTTTATTATATAGGATTGAATGAGTTAGTTAATCCTCACCCGAAGATATTTTTTCCATTGATTTATTTAAATTTTTTACAGAGAGGAAGGGAGAGAGATAGAGAGCTAGAAACATCGATCAGCTGCCTCCTGCACATCTCCTACTGGGGATGTGCCTGCAACCCAGGTACATGCCCTTGACCGGAATTGAACCTGGGACCTTTCAGTCCGCAGGCCGATGCTCTATCCACTGAGCCAAACCGGTTTCGGCCCGAAGATATTTTTTCCATTGATTTATTTAAAGAGAGTGGAAGAGAGAGAGGGAGGGAAGGGAAGAGAGAGAAACATTGATGTGAGAGAGACACATTGATTTGTTGCCTCCTTGCCCGTGCCCCAACCAGGGCCAGGTATCAAACCTGCTACCCTTCAATGTGTGGGCCAATGCTCTAACCACTGATCACACCAGACAGGGCTGTCATTTTTATTTAAAATGTTAACTTCTTACAGTGCACACCTTTTTGGATGTGGAATGGAGGTATACAATGCTGTTGTAGATGGAGTAAATGCTTAAAACAAGACTAACAAGGGTAGAATAGGGTACAATCCTTGTTTTAAACTGTAATTCAGAAAAAATATAATAAGAATCATGGTGCCATAGATAGTTCTCAATTGTGCAGCTGAATATCCAACTCCAAAGTTTTAATCCCAACCCCAGAAGGCTGGGCTCTTCTCCATCTCGCAGGCCACTCGGTCTCGGCTTCTCACTCCTGAGTCTGCAGCCCATCGTCCTGGGGCCCAGTTCCATCCTCTCGTCGGTCCTCAGTGGTGACTCCTGCTTAGCCTCCTCCCCGTGCCACTCCGAGGGAGGCCTTCTTCTTGCCAATTCGTTCTTGGGTCCCCTCCGAGGGGATATCAAGAGTCTAGGCTGGGAACCCTGCTCCCCACTTCAACTCCCATCACCACAGCCAGAAAAGCCTCAGTCAGGGGACCTGCTTCTTCGCCTGCTGCCTCCACCAGCTCCACTAAGGCCAGAGCCCGCTTCCGTGTGCACTGCCCTGGCCCCAGGACCCAGCGTGCACAGTGGACAGCCATCCGGGGCCGGCCGAGGCGGAGCACCTCACCCATTGACTCTAGGCTACCTTGGGATCCCAGGTGGATACGGCCCAGAGCCTCTTCCAGTTCCTCCTCCAGCCCAGGCAGCAGGAAACGGCCAGCAGCCTCCAGTGCCTCCTCAGCCTCTGAGCCCAGCAGGGGCTGGCCTGGCGGGGGAATGGGCCTCAGGGCTGCCCCACAGCCCCGGCAGCCATGCAGGTGATGCATGATAGGCCAGGCTGCGCTGGGTGATAGGTCTCGAAGAGGTACCAGGTCCATCTGGGCTTCAGCAAAGCTGCCAGCTAGCAGGGCCCGGAAGAAAGGGGAGGCAGCAGATGAGGCAGCTCGCTGGGCGGGGAGCCGGAGGCCTGAGTCCAGGAGGAAGTGCAGATCCGGGGCTGGGATGGGAGCTGGGCCCAGCAGAGGTTCATAGTGGCAAGGGGAGGGCGGGTCTAGGTCCAAGGGGGTTGCAGGTGGCGGGGCTGGGCTCACAGGGGGAGACACCAGGCTGTGGAGGCAGGAAAGGGAGTCTGCAGCAAAGAAGAGGAAGAGCGGGTGCGGGGCTGGCCGCGTCAGCGCCGAGAGGAGGAGTCGGAGGCCGCCCTGGTCCAGAAGTAGCCGGCGCCACAGAGAGGGCTTCCTATGGGGAGAAAGAGAACCTCTCAGAAGGGGGAAAAGGTGCGACTGGGCAAGAGCAACTTTGCTCCCCTGGCCCCTGCAAGGCACCCCCATCCTCCTCACCGACAGATGAAGGGCAAGGTCAGCGCACAGGCCACACGGTCCTCGGGACTCCCGGAGAGCAGCAGGTGAGTGAGGGCCCCCACCCCGAAGGGCGACTCCGCCTGCACCGTCAGGTTCTGCAGCAGCATTTCACCTGCAGGGATGGGCAGAGTGGGAGCTGGTGTCCAAGATTGGGGCGGGAGGGGTAGCACAGGCTTCTGGGCCCCAGAAAGGAAGGTGGGAAAACCTCAGGGCAAGAAACCAGGGCACGGGAAAGGAGGCTGACGCAGGCCCTGGAGGGATGGGGCCCAGAGACTAGGAATTGGAAGCGAGGGCAGGAAGAGGAAGTGGGATGTCAGGGAGTAAGCCAGGGCCCCTAGGGCTGAAACTGGACCCAGGAGACAGGGCAGTCCCTGGCAGTGTTGGATATGGGGGTTGGGCCTGAAAGGACATGGCGCCTGAGCCTGGGTTCACAAGTCAGTGACACCGCCGAACTGAGGGTAGATTAGGGAAGGAAATGCCAACAGGTACAATTCTAAATTGTGGGGCCCCAAAGCCTGGGCCAGGTATGGAGCAGGACTCTGCAGGCTGGGATGGTGGAGCAGGATGGGGCGGATGGTGGGCTGAGGGCAGTGAGGGACCGAGGGGTGGTAAGGCGAGGTTCGGGGCTCACTGAAGGATAAGTGGAAGACAGAGCGGAAAGGGGCAGGGACACACCTAGCTCCCGGTGCTGGCTGCGCAGACTGGGGGGCCGGGCACGCAGCGTGGGCCAGTCGTCCGGGGCGACACCCAGCACCAGCCAGGCTCGCAGCAGCGCGGCACCATAGCTGCACACGAAGGCCTCGAGGCAGGCAGGGTTGCAGGTGAGGCGCGCCAGGATGCGCAGTGCGCGCGGGCTCGGTGGGCCCGGCGCCCTCGTCACGTAGGCCAGCAGGCCGCACAGGGCCGGGCCTGTCACCAGCGCCCCGCTCGGGTC